CAATGAATAAATCTAATGTTTTTGTGTCCATGCACCTTTCTTTAGAATGAAGATTTCTAACGTCACAAGAGTATATACAGTCATCCCGACTGCTTGTTTAAAGCCTACTTACCCTCGCTAGCTGGTGTTCGTTCTCTAGCACATTGTGCAGCCGTACTATGCCCACATACTCTTTGCCTAAAAGCAACGGCACAAGAGTAGTAAGGAGAGGCCACTAGTTTTACTGTAAGTGTGTGTGAACATATCAAACTCTTGACCTGGGAGCGTTACGGCGGACCCACCTGCGCTCTGCTGAGATTTGACCAGTCGCGTGGCTCGCTCCACACACACGATCAGGCAGCCCGTGACTTTGGGGTCAAGAGTGCCGCTGTGGCCAGTTTTTTCGACACGAAGAATTCTCTTGATCCAAGCGACAACTTCATGGGAAGAGGGGTTTGCAGGTTTGTCCAGATTAATGAAGCCAGTCCTGGGTGGACAGATTAAGAACACTCGTAGGAACTCGTGGTACAACTCAAAACGCTTGCATTTTTGGAGAAGCCATCAGTCATGGGTGATAGATAGCAGGTCATCTTTGCACAGAGTGCTAATGCAATCTACATCACATCATGTGGCTTTGCGTCATACCAAATACTTACTAGGCATAACGATGCGATGTGTTTCGCAAAACTGATTTTACGATACCATTTTCTCAATTTTTTAAAACAAAGTTCTAAGACAAATTACAAATGAAAAGGTGTCATTTCATTATTTCTCACTATAAAATGCTGCACATTTCTTTGTGAAATTTAAATGTCAAATAACAAAACTAAATAGAAAACAAATCCCAAAACAACAATAAAAATCTCTTCACATAAACAAGCTAAGGCTTTGTCTGTGCTCTTTCCATTTAAAATCAGAGGAAACCACTGCATTTTACTCACGATCCAAACAAAGATGCTGCATACATGCAACATGTGCAGTTCTTGAGTCTGACTTTAGCTTTAAGAAACTATTCTACATAATACATCTGAATGAAACCAAAACAGCAGAGGGACTGAATGAGTCGCAGATTCACTCTGACAGCAGGTGGCGCTCATGGCACAGCAGATACAGCATTTCCATGGTTACCGCTGTAAACAAAGCAGCGCCGCGCTTATAAACACTGCTTTAATATGCATTATACAGAGCCAAGATGAAAAGAAAATACCATCTAAAGTTTCTGAAGACAGTCAGTTCCCCTCAGAGACACATTCATATAAACCCCCACCACCCAACTTCAATCGTCACATATTTTCATTCAGGTGCATCATTACATCCCTATAACTTATTAATCCAGGATTTCCTACCTGACATATTCATGTATGTTCCTCTTGAGCGGATTCGAGCCATGAGGCAGAGGAGTGTAATGAGCCGTCCTGATGTTGAGCTTATCGAAATTCTGTAGATAAGCAGGTTTATAGATCACAACAAGAAAACAAAGCAGAAGCGACTATATCAAAACCCAAGTGACACGCGTGATCAGACACGTCTATTCGTCTTTGTCAGAACCGGTCTGACCCCTCGCACCAGCACATCAGATCCCACGCCAATGACCAAACAGAACATTGGACCAGCGGAGCAGAACCAGACAGCTGTGACCCTGCGACCCAGAACGGACCGCACGGCCGCTGAGGGACAGAACCAGCAGCGCTCGGCGAATGGATAAACACGTTCATCACGCCACGCGTGCGCTTAACCAAAGGATCTGTGGGTAAACAGACACCGACCTTCAGCAGTAACGGCCACTGAGACGTGTCCAATCTTGCGACCTTAGATTCAGGTTTGATGAGGAAGTCTCCACTTTCTTGAATGTCCTGATGGCAACAATTCAAAAACTGATCAGAAAACTCGTTTTAAAATTGACCAACATCTAGGTTGATATCGGGTAGTGTTGTCACAATAACAAAATTTGGTACTACCAATAAAAATAAAAAAATCTGTAAAAGTCATCAATTCTTGACACTACAACAAAAAGCTTTTTAATAATGTATTTTAAGACAATTCTTCAGAACATGCATCTAAGATTGGTTAATTAGGTGGTCAAATACAGGGTTTCTGCAGGATTTATGAGGACTAAGATCTTTTTAAGACCAAGTAAAGAAAATTTAAGGAATAAATTGAATGGAAGAGCATGTCAATGTTCTCTTACAGTAACAGAGCACACAACGACTAGGGTTGTGACGGTGAGGAAATTTTCCCACCGGTTAATCGACGCGTGACAACACCGATAATACCGGTATCACATGGGGACGTTTCCTCTTTTCCTCGCTTTTAAATAGCTTGTAAAAGCTGCGTGCGGCATTTTACTTTCACTTTCAAATAGCGGCAATTCGGCGTAAAGCAATTGTTCGTTTGAATTTCCCCTCTTTTCCTCGCTTTCCTTCGCTTTTAAATAGCTTAAAAGCACCGAGCACATTTCGAATTAGCAGCAGTTCGGCGTCAATTGCTCGAATGCTCACCTTAGATAAACAGCAAAAGTCAACAAGCTTTTCAAAATCCAAAATACTGCCAAACAGGAGCTTTTGCATCTCGTTTCGAAACTAAATCATCCACGACCGTCTTGTCTGTCTCACCTCACTGGATAAATGAAATCTGATCTGTGATGCGACTGTCGTTCAGCAGTTCAGTTACGTTTTTAATAGTGTCTGTTCTTTTACTGAACTAAATGATTTTTATTACTATGAAAATCAAAACGACGGTGGGGGTCGGTGCCGCGGTAGGCAAGTGATGTAACTGGTGTTGCGGCTTAACACTGGTATCACCGTCTATCGCGGCAAGCCTAACAACGACTCATATTTTCAAACTTTGAAGCGTTACTAACAATTTAGTCTTACAAAAAGTCGCACTGCAAAATGTGATGCTCTTCCTCGGTATTTGTCTTGTTTACCAGTACAAATGTCTCAAGTTTCTTAAATTAAGATACATTTACTTACGCAAAATTACATAAGCTTTGTTTTCTGTGAAGCTGATCTAAATTAAGCGAATTTATGATTAAAAAAATAAATAAATCTGCCAACAGGCCCAGAAAAACCAACTTAATTTAAAAGGGAAAAAGCTTTCAAATTAGACATTTGTTGTTTTTTTTGTTTGTTTGTTTTTTTTTTTTTTTAGTATAAACTCACATTTTGTTCTGTCTCAAAACAAGATTTCATATAATTTTGCATCAAGGAAATCTGGAGTACTTTGAGATAAGGACATTTGAATTTATGACTTTCTGCTCCGCCTTCATTTACAGAATTAAAGCAAATTAAAACTTTAGACCCACACAAACCCTGCAAATATTTCAGAAGCAAATCAAACACTATTCATCTTGCAAAATCGAGATGAATTTTTCTCCTCATTGAATGCATCACATTCTCCAAATAACATTTGTGTCAGCAGATATTTGTGCTGATGATGTATCTATACATGACAGTTAAAGGCTATGCAGTCTGCTGGTGTGAAACTGACCAATCAAATAAAAAATAAAAAGTCATAAATGTGCATGCATATAAAAAAGCAATTACCCCAATTTCTCCTTCTGAACAATTCTTCGTCTTCTTTTTCTTCTCTTTCTTAGCTGCCCCAACTGAGGACAAAATAAATCACCGTTACAGATCATTTTATCGTGAACATTCATTGAAGTGAAAGCACAGCCGAGTTTAACCGGTTAAAGTTAGCTGCGGAACCACGTGGCGCGTTCGGACACGTGCAGTTTGCTTCTACCGAAAGAGTTAAACACTGCATTATAAACGTTAGATTACATTAAACCACTGTTACTACAGATCACACATTTAATATCCATAATACTAGCTTAACTAATGACGTTATTTTTAGTTGTTGAGGTAATATGCTTAGTTTTCCCACTACTAGTAGTAATAATAATAATAATAGTAATGACAGTAAAACACATTTCTTAACAAAAACGTTTAAGCATTAGTCTTGCATTTCTACATGAACCCGGGAATCTTTTAACACTATAACGTTACCATTCGTCCGGTTGAAGTTGAGAACTCATGTTTTGTTCGACGCACTTTCACACATGCTAAGCGCATCATACGTGTGAATATTTAAATGCAAAGCTAAATATTTTGAGTTGAATTTTAAGCACCATCAGAAATAACGCAAATGTGGAAAACATGATCTTACGTTCCGTGTCCGCCATCTTCACTGCTGCCGCGCTTCAGAGGAGGCAGCACGTGTGACTGAACGCGCATGCGTACTTCTTACAGAGAGGGGCACATCTCGGGATGTGAAGTATCGCGATATTATATAACGTTAACAACGAGTAGTAGCTACACTAGAGGGCGCAAACAAACAGGCCCCTTCCTAGGGGACGAGAAAATCTCCCTCACCTTTTCACGACGAAATTAAAAATATTTTTTTTACTCCACGAATCTAAAAAACATAAACGTGTCCACAAATCCCTCATTAACAAATACACACAAAAACGTTGATATTCAACACAACAATGTCACGGATCATTTGTCCAAATACTAATTACTTACTAACCTCAAAACGGGTTTGACTGACTAAATCTCACAAATGTTGATCTTCAGATGAAATGACAAAATTAATCAAATCATAGGCATTCATTAACTGTTGAAATGGGATGCAGAAGAGAAAGAACAGAACAAAACCAAATCTCTAAATAAAATAATAATGTGGATAATTACCATAAACTTTTATGATCGTCCAGAATAAAGACGCGTTTCTTTTATTAAACCATTTATTGAATCTATAATTTTTTAGATAATCTATAATTATATATATATATATATATATAAATAAACACATATCTTGCTTAAAACTACCTTTAAATTTTAAAATGTGAACAGCATTGACTTTTCCACTTGCACTATGTGTGTACTTTATATTTATTGTGTGCATTTTATAGTATTAGCTACAGTGTGTTCTTTGTCTAAACTAAAACGAATATAATCAAAAAGTGATAAGACTATGGTCAAAGTCAACAAAATGCAAGGAAAAAGACAAAATGCACGGAAATTAATTTATTTTATTTATTTTCTAGAGGTAACATTGGTATTTTTGTGCGTGCATACATTTGAGATCATTTTATATAGGATACAGAATGTTAAAATTTCACAGATTAATGCAATACAGTATATATATTTAAGCTTTGTGAGATCTTTAACATTATCTCAACCATGCGTACCCATATCACTGTTAAGGCACAAACCCAAAGAAATACCCTCCATTTACAACCATTTAAAGGAATAGTTCACACAGCATCAGTTTAATTCATGACTATTTTAATTGTTAACAATAAACTGACACAACTCATTTTCAGCTTTAGGCCAGTGCTCCTTCTTTCTGCCTACATCACGCGTGACCTTCCCAAAGCACATATGTCACACAAGACTTCGTGAATTAAACGGAGCTGGACCAATGCCAGCATCTGTAGTTTAAAATATAGAATTTATTATTTTTTTCCCCTGAAATTGACTGATCATTTCACTGTAGAAAACCTGTTAGTCAGCTTGGGTCACGTGGATTACTTTGATATGGATTTAAAAATGGTCAACAGTGAGCCCCATTCACTTGCATTAGATGGTGAAAAATCCTATAATGTTTTACTCTAAAACTTCAGCTGAAGAAAGAAAGACCGATACACCTTGGATGGCCTGGGGGTGAGTGAATAATCAGGACATTATCATTTTTGTGTGAACTATTCCTTTAACACATCTCTACGCTTCAAACATCATTCTTCTGATTTAATCTTTCAGTCGTCTGTGTGAATAAACTCCTTAAAATCAGACATTACAGCACAACTCTTTTGAAATGTGTGCGTTTCACTCCATTATCTCGAGTTACTGCATGTCCTGACCATTTCTAAAAAATCTATCATTTAAATTCAACTCTACCATCTGTTTTTCTGTGGAAAGGAATCGTTATGGATCAAAAGATGCATCCTCTACAATAAACTCATTTCATTAAAATCATGAAATCATTCAAAAAAGAGCTGAGTTGATGAGTAATACTGAAGTAATACTGTTGGGATCCTGCTGTGTGCTGTATATCAAGCGTCCTCCGCTATCCTAATGCTTGAGAAATCAACTTGTTTTTGGTAAATGATGGTGTACCGCTGTCATTTGGGTAGTTTAGCATTAGGTATTCAGGCCTGGAGACCCAGAGAGCGCGCTGTGTTCAGCACATCATCACGCGTCAGATAACATCCACACAGCTGCCGCAGGCCGGTGAAGGACTCTCTGCCATGCAGAACGCGCCAGTTATCGATGAACAGGACCTTGGAGAAAACAACGGCAGTATGTTAACATGCACTGATTTTTAGCAACATGAATAAATCCAATCTGATTCTGAAAGTTCTGTTTAGATGCACCTTAAATTAAGCAATATGATTCGCATACTCGTTTACATGTGCATTACATCGATTCTGAACAAAATTGTAGACACTGCATTCATTAATGGAGAAGCCATTGTGAGAAAGTCACTTTGATGACATATCATAAAAACATTGAGGCTTTTTTAGCAAATATGTATGCATACTACAGGGCACTGTGCACGTGCAGACGCAGTTTTCTTTAAATCTAATTGAGAAAGTACTGAGATTCAGAAGTACATATAGCAAAATATTACCTTTAGTTATACTGATTATTTACA